ATGGGGGGGAGGCGTGTTAATTTATGCTGCAAACGATATTTTGGACAACTGCGGTTTTCCACGTTTTCATTTCTCTCCTGCTGTAGCCAGCTTCCATTTTTGTTTTGGTTTTTCCACTGCTGTAGTGGTGCCCACTGCTGTAGCGGCGCGGGTAGGGGGAGCTTGAAGGACATGTATGTGCGCCCTGACCATGGCGGGTGTATGGTACCAGTATATGGATCTTGCCCTAGGTAGTTCAGTGTGTGGCTCTTTGCTGAAGTCCTGTCACTCTCTCGTGCAGCAGTGGTGGCGGGCGCGGCCCATGTTGTGGAATGGTATGAGAGGATAATTTGATCTTGATGCGTTATTTTGTTGTAGGTTACCTCCGGGATGATTCACCAGTATCCCCGGATAAACCTGCCACAATATTTTTTCTGTTCTGCAGCAAGCACGGTCCACTTTTGATTGATGTGGATGCCGAAGTGCTTCGGTCAACAAAAAACGAGGGTAGTTTTCTCAACATTTCAAATGTGCACTACCAGGCATATCCCGGAATTTAGCTGATTTCCCGGGGATGATGAACCAGCATCCCCGCTCAGCCTGCGAGCCTTTTTTTTTTTTAGGCTTCCCTCAGCACTGAGGGGATGTGGCACACAGTAGAGCTCTTTTGATCACCAACATAGCCCTCTGTATCTCAATACCCCAAAAGTGAACTATATTCATTTTTTTCCAAATGTGAACTATATTTCGGACCAGAGTGGATCAATTTACCACGCTGGCGGCTACCCGACGTGGGGGGCGGGCTGCCCCCAGCGCCGTAAATTCATTTCAACATTTTACCTCGAGCTGGAGGTAATCTGGGGTCTAACGGACCCCAAATCGAGACCCTATGGGTTGGGCGTTGCGCCCCACAGCGCGTAAGCTCTGATTTAGAGTACACGTACGGTGAAAAATTGCAGCGCAGCCTGTGAAACACGGAGTTGCAGCTCTGACGATGGTGGGTGATACGACGCTCGCGCAAAGCTTGTGCTGTGCTCCAATATTTACCCTGGGTGTCACAGCCGCGTCTCCCATCTATCCAATCCGGTGCTTAACGAGTTCTTTTTCATCCATCACGTCACTTCGCACTGCCTGATGGCTACCCTCAGCAGTCTAGTAACTGGGGCAACAAAAGCCTCTCCCGCACCACGTCGGAGAAAATAGCCCCAACTTTTTCTCGCATACAGCGAACACGTAAAACGCCATATTGTGCCGAAGGCCGTCAGCAGCAAACAACAGCAACAACGACAGCAGCAGTCGCCCGGAAACACCCAATTCCAACCACCGACGTTCAACACTCCACATGTTTACCAAGGAAGAGAAAACCTTCCCCATCTCCAGAGCCAGGAAACGACCCAACAAAAGGAGCACAACGCGTTTGCCACCGAAAAGCCTTATCAGTGACACGCTCAACTTGATCCGACGCAACAACAGCAGGAACACACGGCGTTCGCCCGCCAAAACCCCATCACACTCAACTTTGATCCGACCGCAGGCAAGCAAGAATTCGATGATGTCGCGAGGGCATCCTTCCCCCGCGAAAAGGGAATACGTCGAAGGCACACACGACCCCTTTCCTCGCAAAACAAGTCTACGGCTCGAACTCATCATCATCATCATCATCACCATCACCTCCTTCCTCCTCCTCTTCCTCTTCCTCTTCATCCTCCTCCTCGGAACCGCTGCTGCTCTGGGTGTACTTAACCCGTGACGCGGCACTAGACCGGCTGCTCCTTCTCGCGGGACCTGATCTCACCGCCGCCGCCGCCACGTCCTCCCCCGAAGCAGGAGACTCCTCACCGGAATTCCCGTTCTCTTCTCCGCTTCCACCCTTATCGTCATCGCTCGATGATGACGAAGACCCGGAGCTGGCCAGCGCTCGGCGGCGGCCTTTCCCTTTAGCGCCGGCGGCGGCGGCCTTTCTCTTCTTGCTCGAGGCCGGTGCGCTCTTCTTCTCCTTGCCGGAGCCCACCGTGACCGGCTTCCTCTTCGCCGTGGCCGGCGAGTTGAGGATAGAGAACGCTTCCACCCCTCCGGCACCGCTACCGCTACCGCTGCCGCTGCCACCACCGCCGTCCTTGCTGCTACCACTGCTTCCTCCCTCAACGGCAACGACGTCCTCGTCTCCATCGTCCGCCCCTCCTCTCCCTCCTCTAGCCCCTTCGTCACCGCTGCCGCCGCTGCTGCTGCTGCCGCCCCCGTCCTCAAGCTCGCCGTCACTCGAGTCTTCCTCTACGTACGTCTTGGTGCTCTTGGTGGAACGGCTACTGGTGCGTCGGCCGACCGTCTTCGTCGCTCCCTCCGCCCCCGCGGCCGAGATCCCTTCCTCTCCGCCGCTGCCGCCGCCACCCCGCTCCCCGTTCCCCGCGCCGTTGCCCGCGGAGGCTTTGCTTTCCGAGTCTCCCGACATGAGAGATGCCGGGTTCCCACCGCCGAAGTGTGTCTTGAAGTCGGCGGCCGTGAGCTTCTGCGCGGCGTCACCCCCGCCGGTGGCGTCACCGTCGTCGCCGCCACTGCCTGGGGCCTGTTCATCCTCTCCTCGAAGGGTCTACGCGTGATGATTTATGTGTGCAGAGAAAAACGGTGGTGGTGCAGGTAAGATCACAGTGTTGTTGACGTTGGGTTGGAATATTTTCCCTGCAGGGCACCATAATAGCAATAGGCCACGCGTGCCTCTTGAGAGCGAGCAAGTACCGACGGGACACCGCTGTATTGTGACGGAACACCGTTGCGGTTCTGCCGGAATACCGCTGTGCGCTCGTCGGGCCCGAAGATGATCATAACGCTTCACTGCTGCGGTGAAGAAAATTCCGCCCCACGCCATGACGAAGGAACCAAACCCAGGGTACTTCCATTTATTCTGGACGACAGCTACTTTTCGTTTGTTTACTCGATGCATCAGCGGGGGTCACACCGGGAGGAAGTACGTTTCGCGGAGGGCTCTTGGACCTTGTACTAGACGGCTCTTGTACACCGCTTTTCGGCTACGCAGACGCCAGCCACCACCAACACCGCCGCCGCATGCATACCAGCAAACAAGAAACTATCATACGCATGCACCCACGCAGCCAGCAGCCACCGACCGAAACCCACCTGCAGCGACTCGGGCAGGGGAAGGGGTTCCTCGGACGGATTGTCTTCCTTCTTTCCCACCCAGCAAGCCTTGCTGAAGAACACGGCGGAGTCGAACACGTCGCGGCAGTCCATGCGGGTAGCGCGGCCGGCAGCCTTGTCCGCGTACAGCGTGAAGAACCTTCCCTTGGCGTGCACCATGCGCCCCGTGCACTTCAGCCGACCCTGCAATACAATCGAGGGTCGTCCAAGAACATTGGGGCGGGCGGGTGCGGTGGGCCCAATTGAACGTGCAGGAGCTTCAACTTTTCGGCAAAAAAGAGGAGTTGTTCCTCGGTAACAACGTGGGGCGACGAGAGTGCGAGATGTGCGGAACCTGCACGTACCAAGGTGCCTTGCAACAATCCTCCTTGCTTCCAACTGCGGGGGGGGGTTGGACGAGACTGGCGATCGGACATATAGGCCTACCAACCGAAATCGGGGTCCGGGGGAGGGGGGGGGGTGTACTCATAGTCGTGCATGCCGTAGTCGTTAGACCATTGACCTCGCATCCCTACAAAGCCGGGACGGAGCACGCCGGGTTCTCACCGGACCAGGCTCTCACATCACCAAGCGCGAAGCGCCGTGAGATATTCGGCGAGTCGCATGAAGGGTGCGCTGCATCCTGCTAAGGGTTTTCGGCATCTTGTGCTTACTTCCTTGCGTACGGATGACAGCTGCGTATGAATTGATTTATTTTCTGGTGCTTTCACTTCCAGAGACAGTTGTAAGCACTGTGTAACTGCCTCGAGGGTGCTTGACCATTTTAACACAACGTGGTGCGATCATCCCCCTTGCGCGGAGTGAGGGTTCTCCACCCCGCACAACATGATCTACTCGACCACCATTATGGTTACCGCCAAAAAAAAAAACGGAGGTAAAAAAAAAAAACGGTAACCTGGTTGCCGAGTTCACGAAGTGAATTGGCTTGTTTTACAACGTCGTTGCCAAGCGACGAAACCCAATCCCGATGGCAAACACCGGGGGCGGCGACTTAATTTTTACTTTATGTAATTGCGCAAGGGGATGGTGGATAGCAACCCCTCTGCAGTAGTGGGGTCACGACTTATTTCGTGAACGAAGCCCCCTTTGTAATTCTTTGGACAGGGGTACATACGCCAGAGCTGGCGAGATTCTTGCATTTGCCAGATCAACAATTTCTGGGTTGTGGTTGGAGGTAGACGCAACCAAAGCCATAGCGGGTTTCCAGCCCGAGGTTACACCATGGCGCTAGGCCTCACAAGGCCTAACCCACCCTTAAGCCCTAACCCAAACCCAAACCCAACACCCCAAGCTAGGTTGCTGTGCAGTGGGCAGGCCATAATAGGTCGCTGTACCGAGCTACTGGAGCGCCCACGAATCTCGCCAGCTCTGGCGTATATACGCCTCGTCGAACTTCCTTTGAAGTAAAACAGAAATCGAAAGCAGAAGATTGCAGAGGCAGCGGCGTTGAAATCTGAGTTTCGTGAACAGTTGAAGACAGATATTGTAGTTGGCCGATCAGAGAGCAGCAGCATGGAGACAGCGTGAAGTCTCTATATCTGACAAGAGTACACGTGGGTGCACTTGCTGGTCTGTCTTAAATAAGCAAGATAGCGTAGGCTGCTGCAGCCAAGAGGTATTTCGGAGATCCATTCCGTTAAGAAAAAACGCTATTAATAGAGGAAGTTGCGACTTTTTTTTAAATTCAAACACGCAAGGCCAGAGCCGAGCCTCTGTCGAACCAAAAACGAAACTGCTCGCGCACCTCGGGAAATTCCACGTACAGCACGGGGTTCGCCGGTGCGGCGTTGTTCAGCGTCCCAAGTTTGCCGCCGGTACTGCCGTTACCCAGGCCGAGCACGCCGGGCAGTACCATGAGCTGCCGCCCTCGTCCTCGCGCCTTGTTCTTCACGACATTCAAGCCGTCGCATTGCCGGAGAGTGGACGACGGTGCGATGGCTGCGGGGTGATACTTGCTCGGCTCTGCTGTGCTTGTTGTATTGTTGTTGCCATCGCCGGCACTGCCCGCAGACTCTTGCGGCAGCAGAGGGGCGTCTGAAGCACTGCTCTTGCTGCGCTTGGTCGTCCTGTCTTCCGGAGGCGGAGCGATTTCAAACAGGAGCGATTCTGCGCCACTGCTGTCTTGCTGGAACGTGTCACCGTCGCCGCCGTCCCTCTCTCGCTTTCTGCTCATGCTGACTTGGGTGCCGATATACTTACTGTGACGAGCCTGTCCCGGTCGATCGGCAGCGTGTGTTTGAGTGACCGAGCGGTGACGGGATCAAGTACAGGCAGGACGGCGCACCGCAGGAGGGAGACATGCGGTTGGGATCGTCTGCGGGGATACCTTATCGATATCACGGAGCCCCTGTGCAAATCTTAATTCTTGTCCCCCATCCTCCGCTTCCACCCACATGTACGCAGACAGTAGATTCCTTTACCACACCTGGCCTTCACACCTACTACTCTCGTCTTTTTGTTATGTTTCTCTGGCGCGAAGTCTGGCACTCTCTGCAGAGTATAGCCTGCAGATAGTACAGGATAGAAGGGCGTGCCATCCAGTTCCAAAGTAACCATCCAGTTCCAAAGTAAAAATAGATAGACTAGTCTATATACATACCGGGTTGATTGAAAGTGACCGAGAGAGGATGATTCTGCGCGCAGAATGTCAAGGAAGGGCTCATATAAGCCTGGCCACCAGGATTGCACCAAAGAAGCGCCAACTTAAGGAGTAGATGTATCTAGTGTAAGGACGTGTGTGTGCTTTTATTATTAGCATCGACCGCGCTAACCGGCTGACCAATGAAAAGACGTCAGTCTTAGTGCGGTTGAAAACACAAAACACTTCTTTAGGCCTGTCCTTCATCGGCCGCGGCCGAAAGAGCCGATTTCTGAAACTTCGGCCGGAAAACGGCCGCAAAAAAAACGGCCGATTTTGCAAACAAAGTGGCCGATTTTGCAAACAAAGCAGCCGATTTTGGCCAGGGGATAGCCGAATGTCAGTCGGCTACGGCCGATTCCTAGTCGGCTACGGCCGATTCCAAATCGGCCACGGCCAATGTCCGATTTCAATGGGCCACCCCCCTCCCCTCCCCATAAGTTCAATGTTGTGGGGAGTCCTACGTACCTACCTACCCTTTTCGAACATTTTTTCACTTGCGCGGTGGTCTCCGCGTCTCCGCACTTGAAAAAAAAAAAACACAAAAAACTTCCAGCTTCCAGCTCGCCCATAGCTCGCAGCTCGCAGCACGTAGTCCGCACACGGTAGCACGTGGCACACACACACACACATGAGGGGATCCAGCACACAGAAGAACATGCTCGTAGAGTACAGCGAAAAAAAAAATGGGGTGGCCGAAAAAAAAATTGGGGTGGCCGAAAAAAAAATTGGGGTGGCCGAAAAAAAATTGGGGCGGCCGAAAAAGGAAAAAAAGCGGCCGAAAAAGGAAAAAAGCGGCCGAAAGAGAAAAAAGAAAGCGGCCGAAAAAGGAAAAAAAAACGGCCGATGGAAGACAGGCCTACACTTCTATCTACCATGAACTGGGACCCCGTGAGGGGGCAGCATGGGGGAGGCTAAACTATCCTTCGGATTAAAAACAGAAACAGCAGCAACAGACGAAAAATGCACGCGTCTACCAAGGCTATTACCTAGTACTCGAGTTCGTTTAGGAGTACTTTCACCAGTGTCCTCCTTGTTTTCGCTACCATCATTCTGATCCTCATTTCGACAAGAAGAATCTCTGGGCAGTTCTTCCCTAGCCCTACGTTTCTTGTTGTGGGGAAGGTCATCTGGCTCAAACCCTTTGCTCTCTTCCACTCCTCCATGTTTTTCTGCTCCATCGTCGTCATCCTCCTTTCTCCCCTTTCCCTTTCCTTCGTCTTCGTCACTCCCAAAAGAATTTCCCTCACTACTATCGTTGTCGCAGAGATAGATCCCAACCNCATGTTTTCCTGCTCCATCGTCGTCTTCGTCCTCCTTTCTTCCCTTTCCCATTCCTTCGTCTTCGTCA